AGGTGCTAGTTTCAAATCCTTTTTAGTCTGAAATCTGTATGCTAGATATTGAGTAAGGTGGTTTTATTGTTTTTTGTCACTTTGAATAATATTTCTGTTCATGTTAAAAACAAAATCAACTCTCTGTATAAATATATCAGGTGACCGTTAAGGCCCATGGGCCTCTTGTTTACCTTTGTTATCAATCTCTTTTTTTGGAACTTGTCCATTCTCTATGTCAATTAACAGTAAATATATTTACCAACATTTATAATGTGCTTTGGCCCGAGACATAGTAGTATGATGTTACTGATATCTTTACCTTGGAAATCATAACACTTAAAGTGTTGTCCATGATACTGTCCAAAAGTAATCATACCTATTTAATCAGAGACTATTTTGAAATCAGTCGACTCAATTTCTTAAGATTTCTGCACCTCTCGAATATGTCATGACAGAATTGAAGGCACGTGACTAGCTACTTAATTGGTCTCAAGGTGAAAAAAACCCTGACCAACACTTAGGCTGAAACATGTCCTTTGAAGATTACAGAGGAGTGGCATCCGACTTAAAAGCTGGTAATATTAACTGTTAAACTGCTGCATGATTCTTCAGACAACTCTTAACTCATATCATCCACCAGGTGGCACGTACAAAGCCTTCAATTTTGCCATGACATATTCCAGGTGTGCAGAGAGCGTAAGTGAGAGTAACCCCTACATGGACAGTATCAATGATGGGAAGTAACATACAGTGTAGTGTATTGCCTGAAGAGTGTTAGTGAGGGTAACCCCTACAGTATCAAGGATGGGAATTAACAGTGTAGTGTATTGATAGAAGAGTGTAAGTGAGAGAAGTATCAATGATGGGGAAATAGCATACAGTGTAGTGTATTGTCAGAAAAGTTATTGATAAATTTTTTTAATATTTGAACCAATTCCATACATGCTTCAAAAGAGTGTCTTTCTCCTATATATATAAATGTACACTTTTCAGAAGACTAAGTTGCAAATAACGTGTTTTAATAATCTGCTGTACTATATCATTGTAACTTTTCAGGACGGATGATATAAGAGAAATGCATTTCGTTGGGGAAGACAAGTTCGGCAACAAATATTATCAGAATGATAATTATTTTATAGGTAAGTAAGAAATATTGATAAAGCATAGTCCCATCTCAAATAATTTCACAGGTAGGGAACTTCATCTGGTAATACAGGACTGCAAATATCAACATAAATACATTGAGAATTAAAAGTCACTACAACCAAGCTTATATGAAGGACCAAATGTTCAAAGTCGGGCCAGCTTTAAGCCTGTAACGTAAATTTGAAGAAAAAAAATATTGCAGAAAATTTACAGACATTTTCATGGTTTATTTTTGGTCTAAAAGTCAGTCTTGTAATGTTTAGTTATGAACATTAATATGTTTGAGTGTATCAGATGAAAGTGTTGGATTAAGGTGTGTTGCAATTGAGATACTGTAAAAGTGGAAATTCTCACGAATTTTTAAGTAAATTAGTGTGAAATTACACAAATATTTATTCATTAATTGTACGATTTGTAGATATATATATATAGAATGCATAGATTTCAGAAAACTGTTGCCAACACAAAAATGTCCACACTAGAACTGCGATCAGTTTTAAAGAGTCACAATGCAAACATTTCTACTTTTACTTTAATCTGGCTTCGATAGCTGCATCCATAAGTCCCAAATAAATATCCAAACCCCGATATTTTAAATTAAATCCAAACATTCTGTTCATGATGCACGTATCTTCTCTGAAAACCTGAAATAGTTTGACATAATTGACGGCTCTGCATATGTACCACCTTGTGGATGAAACAAGTAGACTAGTCTGATGTCTTCGATAAAGATCAAAGGAATTGTGTGGGACCTGTGGATTCTTTTTGATTTGCCATTGAAGTAACAATCAAATGGTAATAAATAGAACAGAAGGAACAAGGTACAATTTGTTAAGTAAACAGTCAACTTCAGTCTGTTGTCGTAATTGGTCATCCTTGAGTAAAGTTATTTACTGAAATTTAATATTTCTTAATTTATTGCAGGAAGAAATAGGATAGTCCACTACAACGTTGAAGTTGTAGGTTTTGATAAAGATGCAAGTCAAATACCAGCAGAATGGTAAGTAGGTCAGTTTAGTTACTTAACTCATTCACCCCCGAAGACACATTTGAGCTCTTCCAATTCAAAGGTTGGAATAGTTCACTATGTAATTTCAGGGGTAAATGATCATGAGTTAATGTCAACAGAATGCACAGAAAGTCAGAAAACACAGGTTTTATTCATTTTTTTTCCTTCCAGTCAAATTTTATCACATGCAATTGGATTAGAATGTCTAAATGATCAGGACTGGATTAGACTGGTTTTAGTGTAGGTCAGATTAGTGATAATGTCAAAAATGACAGGTAGCATTTGGCTGTTTTTATTAGCAATGGGATTATATTACATTATATTATGATTGCTGATTACTCAGGGGGTCAGATTAGACAGTTGTCACTATGTATAACACTATCTACCTGTTTACAGGCACGGATGGATGCACTATGTAACAGATAACCCACCCACAAAGGTTCCCCCTAAACCAAGGAAATGGTTTGCTGAGCACACGGAAAACATGACTGGTACCAGTGACGATTATGTACCATACAGCACAGCTAGGCCCAAGATTGAGAGCTGGACGCCTCCTAGGGCATAGGAGCGGAAACGTGTGAATGGACATATGATTGTTTTATTGTATAATTTGTATGAATACAGTTGTGATAAAATATTGATTGGGTTGTTTGATGCTTTTGAGATATATCTTCATAAAAGGGCCAATTTGTTTACTAGTTATTCAATGTTTTTGCATATGCATGAAAATAAAGTTAAACAATCGTCATAGCGACCTTCAGAGTAAGTCCAGATCATTTATTTGGATTAACTTCAGTAGTGTGATTTCCTAACAAATTGAAGCAAAATATTACTTCTCAATGCTCAGTAGAAATTTTAAGATTTTTGACAAAATTGAGCCCAGTTACCTTGAAAGTGGGTAAAGGTAGCCCTTCACCCAAGCATACTTCTGTCAAAATAATAAATCCTTGGTCCTCTTTATTCAGAAGACGTTTCTTAATACTTTTTTTTAAATTTTCACTTAAGTTAAAAGAAAATTTAAGCAATGAAAAAGTCTTAGTTTAGGGCTAGTATTCACGAGACCTTTCTCCTGCTCAATCTCTGATTTTGTGCTCAAGTCCATATTTTGTTTCGTATATATTTTACCTGTAATTTAAAATCAAACTTTTTCCACACGTAGGAAGATAAGCACAAAATCCATATTTGAGCATTAAACCGTTTCATGCATACAGATTCTGGATGATTCATGAAGTTGGAAGTCATCGCAGTTTCACAAATGTCTAGATTCTACGAATCTAGAAAAGAAAACAATGACACAATAAATACCATCATAAGGTTTATTTACAGGCTGTATAACATGAGACACTATTCATTAGAAGCAATATATTTCTCATCATACATTTTACAAATATTTGTATGAAAAAAATAATATCATTCTTCATGAAAGTTTAGAAACCTATAAAGTGGTCAGGAAACAACTTGTGCCATGCTTGTATGAAATACTGCATGAGAAGCATTTTAAAAACAAACAATTTGTGAACAAAACCGTGCCCTCTTAAAAGCCAAAATGTAGCTTTGCACTTGTTTCACCCTTTACCTATAGGTGAAGGTCATCTGTGGGTGGTGCAGCTATACTTAAAAGTTTAAATCTACAATGGTTTAAAGTTTACAGAACGTTGTACATGTTCGGTAACGATGACCTAATATTACAGTGAACTGCACAACTTAAATGGGTAAGGTGGGTATACTTCAAAGTTTTATCAAATTACAATTAATGTTATAAAACTTACAGCTTGGAGATGATTTTAATAGAAGAATCAAAATGTCTCCATTTCTGCTGATTTTGTTTGTTTGGGGTTTAACTCATTCACCCTCAAAGAGACATTTGAACTCTTCCAATTCAAAGGTTGGAATAGTTCATAATGAAATTTCATGGGTGAGTGAGTTAACAGCCTCACATTCATATCAAGACAGAAAGGGGAGACAATTCACTGGCAAGGTAAACCAAAACATCTACCTTTGGCAGTATGGTCTCTGAGAATAAATTGTGAGCAGTGAAATATATTTATACAGTATATAAAATTAAAATGTACAATAGAAAACTGTCTGTCTGGTTTATGCTGTATCTCATGTACACCAATGCCTAATAAGGTATCATTTTCAATGCTGTGGTAATTCCTTATTTAAAATGATGATTACGAATACATCCAACATCTGTGGATTTTGTTCCCACAATGTTACACATGTTCTTACAAACCACTTCACTGTTACCAACTTTTGTGGTCTGCCTTACATATAGTCTTGAAATTACAGAAGTAAGCTATTCCTGTTTTGTGTATTAACATTTTCCACTACAACCGTGACAACTGTTTTAAGTTAATACACTACAACAATTTCCTGTTCTACGGTACATTTGTTTCTTAGATATAGAAAACCTATGGCACCTTTCAAACTGCAATAAATAATACCTATATTGGTTGTGAATATACTCGCCTACAAACATCAGACTTACCAGTAACGAGCTCTCCTTATTACTGAAATAACATTGCACTAAACATAATGACTGTGTGCTTGTTAAATGAATCAAAATTACATTTAAATGCAATGAAGCTGTGATGAGAATATGAAGTGATTTACTTGCAATACATGTACAAAAGTAAACTATAAATTGATGAATTACCTACTCCTGCGACTACATACCATTATACTTGAGAATTACCTTTCAAGTGCTACAAGACGTGCTGTATAAGACATAATGAGAGCACCTACCTTAATGAGGACACATTCACCCAGGGATTAAAAAAAAAATGTATGATTCAAAAACATCCTATAATTCCGGATTTTTCCGTTTGGGGTTTTGTAACTTAAGAAATTGCCTGGTTGGTTGATTGGTGATGTCTACCAAAATGGTCGGGTAATAAAAAACAAGGAAAGCACATCGTCGGATACCCACGGTTGATTTTGCTTCGGTACTCACCCATCAGGTGATGAGTGAGTACCGAGGCGAAATTCGCCATGGGTATCCGATGATGAGGAAAGCAACACTGCCATTGACCTCTAGATCTATTGTTGATACAGTGACCATGTAATCTTTCAGAATGATGTACCGCTCTATTAACTGGGGATTCATCTTATGATCAGGATGAACAGACCTTCGAGTCTTCACCATGGTGGGAAAATAGTCAACCAGGAGGTCTAATTTTTGAGAAAATACTGGTATGTGTCTAAATAAAGATCCACCCAATTAAGTTCTTCCTTTCGTCAAATATGGTAAATATACCAATTGATCATCAAGAAATTGATATTTTGTTTCTCCCACACCATGAAAAGTAATTGAAAATGATGACCACCTGCCATGCGGATATTCCATACTGTTAATTCATCATATTCTTTTTAACAATAGTGCCTAGAAATGATGATTACCTTATGCAGCTATGAGATAACAGTCAAATAATGCCATTCTTAAATTGTAAATATCAATATGTAAAGTATTTCCTTAATTTCGTATTAAGTTATATTAACATATCAGGACTAAGGTTTCATCACATCTGTACATTTATCTGAATACACCAGTAAACAAACACTTAAATATTCCTTCGGTCGGGAAATAATTGATGAAAATGTGCAGAGTCTTGGCCGATCTAGAAAATAATATTCTATTCACAAATAATCAGTGGGAGGTTAAATGTAAACGGTAATCTAACAAATTTAAGGATAAATTCTACATTTCTGCATAAATCCATAAGGGAGATAACCCCTTACTCAATTACAAGTTATGATTATACCTCATCTAAATAACAACATGTCTGCAGGATGATATTGATCACATGATAGGGAAATAAAACATCATGTTCCTTTCACACACTTGAGTTTTCCATGTCATATTTCCATTATTAGGAGCCCCTCTAGAAAAACGAAAAACTGATTCCACACCTGAATTCCATGAAGTAGACATAAACAATGAAACCTGATAATCTCCTCTGCTGTTTTTGGTTCTATTCAGTATAACTAGACATTTATTGCTCTTGTGGTGGGAAAATGTGATTCTTTTATTTCTCCTCAATAAATCATGTGTCACTCTTGTGAAACACGATTTATCTGGAGATAAGGACAATAAAAGTATAATGTATAAAGCAGCATGTTCCTAACTTTAATAAATCATTTGCATAGTGTCTAAGGCAACCTATAATGTGTAAGGTATACGTAGCATATATCCTATAGCAGACAACACGTAAACTAGAGATGTAGAAATATAAGCTGTACTAAATACACTCAGGGATCCACTCGCAATAACACAGTTATTGTTAAAATATATTTGTCGTCACCACAGTACCCAGTACTATATGGCTAACTCAATCACAATATGGTACACACATATATAACACATATAAATGACATATATAAATATATATCTTAATATTCTTGTGTAGGATTGACATCAACAATGATTATTATGTACTTTAAAACAGCACAAAGACAAAATTTCCTTTTTAGAACAAGTCTAGGAATATGTCTAGTAATGAGAACACTTTTACAAACAATGTGTCTGGCAAAATCTGGTCAAAGTAATCTCTTGGTGGTAGGACATTAACAAACATGGAAGCATAAGATCACACGAGGTTAATGTGTATATGTCAGCCAAATGTTAATAACTTTAAAACTGTTAAGTGAATCTGTTAAGACTGTTCCAGACCTAGTGTAGGTCTTACAAAACACCATCCTCAATAGGGTTTCAGATCAACAGGGGTCTGCTCGCTTAAGCGGAACAACCGGTTTGTCCGTTTATAAATATAACAATTTCGGGTATAAATCCTGGCGGACCTGCAAATGTTTATGCAGGCCTTGCAAGGCTTTGTCAAGGCTCGCCTGAAAGCAGCATCAGATTACTAGGTCTGACCTTATTTAATAAACGAACAAGTGTGGTCCAACCGGTTTACCCGGTTTAAATGAAAACGGCCCAGGTCTGTCTTTATTACTCAATCACAGCCGTTTAGTACACTTGCTGTACAACATTCACTCTTACTTGTAAACTATGTCAGGAGCAACACTTCATACCATCAGTACAGCTATCAATCAGTTACCAAAGGATCAGATGTATTCTGGAGTGGACTTGTCCCTATTCTAAACCTTCTTAAACACGTTAGAGAGCAGTTCATGGAGGATGGCTGGTTGGTTGACCAATGGCGGCTGAATGAGTTTAATATCAGAAAGATCTTTCATAGTTGATGAATTTTATATCATTGATTGGATGGAAACCTCGACCTTGTTCCTGAAATTCGCCGAGACCGACTATCTCCCTTCTTTAATGAAGGTGACTCTGATCTAGGCTGTGTTTTGCGGAAGTGTTCATGTATCTTTTGAAGACGAGTTTCGACATTTCCCAACAGAGGGCGCTTCAGGGGCTCACCTTCCCAACATTCCACCATCAGATTCCAGCAATCTGCATCGAATGTCAGGTGCTTTTCTGGACGTAAACCTGTTTGAAAATGATAAATAAGTGCTTTTTAATGGACTTTCACATTAACAACAACTTAAGTAAGTAATTTTCAAAATAGGGTGTCAAATAATCATTTGGTATTCTTAGGAAAGACTTAGGAAAGACTGTCTTCAAATGAAAATAAGATATACACTCTAGAACTCTATTACCTTTATAAATCCTTACCAACCATTGCCTTTTATTGACAAACGGACAGTGGAATTCTTACGAGGTCAAGGTCAAATTTTGCATCTTTTCACTGATGAACATTTTGTTATCACATGATGAAGCAAAGTTGATCAGAATTAAACAAGGAGTCAACTGATAAAAGGTCAAGGTCATCGGGTCAGAGGTCAAGGTCACGGTGTCAAAAGCCAAGGTAAAATCTTGTAGCCTTTCACTAATGAGCATTTTATGACATTATGAAGCAAACTTGGTCGGAATTAAACAAAGAGACACAGTAAACTCTACATGTCTACTTGCACATATATGAATATTATAAAAAAAATCAGCGATGAAACCATCATCTAGTATTTTGCAAATCTTTATATCTTCATGTGGCATTTAGGAACAAGAAGCCCAGAGGGCCAGTATCGCTCACCTGAATATTTAAGCAGTCATAGCAAAATATTCGGGCCAGGTGAGCTAAAAATGTTCATTATAATAATATTTCCAACTCCAAAAACATGTAACTAATCTTTATTCTAATCATTTTCTGTGTTCTTTTATGTCATTATTCTACAATTCAGCTGTATCATTTGTTATCCATTATTTCTGTTAAACACTTCTGATTTTTGCAATGAGCAATAAAAGCATGTTATCTTTAGTAAGTTACCTTTTTTCACCGATGTCCACAGATGATCCTTGTTGTCACACTTTTCAAACGCACTGGGAAGCTTGACATGCCCTGCACACACATACCAGAACAGGATCCCAAAGGCGTACACATCCACACTGTTGTCATAGCGCCCAGAGAAGAGTTCCGGAGCCATGTGGATTGGTGTGCCTACGATACTTCCACTCATCATGGCCTCGGGCTTACAGAAACCCAAATCTGTGATCTTACCACGGTTATCTTTGTCAAGCTGTTGATCAAATATATTCAGGTTTTAACTATTCAACTCAATACTCAAATATTTATCAGAAATTCGTGAGATCTCCTTTTTTGTGTAATTAGCAAGATAGACAGATAATCTCGAATTGAATACCTTGCAAACATTTTTTTAAGGATAATTTATCAAATGAAGTTTTAAGTTTGATATACTGCTGGCAAAAAAATTGTCTGGATATAAAGCTTTGTATCTCTGAAGTACAAGATCAATTACAGTGTGATATGAAATGTGGTACTTTCCTCCATAGTTTGAAGATATTAAGATTGTTTCGTGGTACAAACTTTTGTAGATACCCCATATAAACAAACAGTAGTCAAGTATATCAATTAAATTTGATTTTTTATACACAGTAGCATATCAGGTTATAAATTATGATTTTCTTGTCAATGGAACACCATCCATTATGGTTAGCCAGTGACTGACAGTTCCATTTATATATATATTTTGAATACTTACCAGCACGTTTTTCAGTTTAATGTCCCTGTGTACCAGTCCTTGACTGTGTAGGAAGCGGATTCCCTCTACAACATCTATGGACACTTGTAGCCTGTTCAACAAAATCAACCAACGGACATACAAAATTTATTGGTTTTGCCAGTGTTCACTTTTATGTGTCATCAATTCATGTGTACCTTTAAAATGTGTGACCAATTCTTGTGTACCTTTAAAATGTGTCAATAGTTCTTGTGTACCTTTGAAATGTGTCATCAACTTATGTGTACCTTTCAAACTTGCCATCAATGATGAACAAATTCCAGAAAACCTCTTATCAAATATATCTGAAATATTCAATAGATCGTAGCACTTTTGGAAAAAGGTGTGTGCCACCCTAAGGAAGCACACTCCCTTTAATTCATTCAGTCCCACGGAACATTGTATACAGTAAGCACTATCTATTCTGACATGAGCCCCTTACTTGCCAAGTCTCCTTATTTCAGTAAAAGAGCCTTAATTTTTCAACCTTACTATTTTCTTTTAAAATCAGCTTCAACTTTTTCATTCAATCCTTAGTAATTGTTGGACATTTTTTTTCACATTTTGCTACATGGAGTCTCCCGTATGAAAAATTTGATAGGTTGCATTGGTAAGCATGCATTCATCCTTCTCACCTGCTGACCCAGTCCAGCCCCTGCTTAATGGCAGCGTATAGGTCCCGCTGTAGCCGGTCCATGATGAGAAGAACCGCGGGACTCGTTCCCCCACCATACATGTAGTCGATCACTGACCCCCTCAGAACAACAATACGTTCATGTGGTGGAATGTTCCTGCAGAAGAACACACATTAATAATGACATTGTTACTCTGTCATTGGGATGGATCATGAAGACTTTGTGCTTAAATGACTTGATGAGATGACTAAGCTTTGAACAACCGGGCTCTTAGTTTTAATTTGATGTCAATTTTATTTTGATATCACAACTTGTATATATTTTTCATGTTAATTATTGAAAATAATCAATGTCGAATTCTATTATTGAATGAAATTTCTTTTAAGAAATAATTTATAATAAAAGATATATATATATAGATGTCTATTTTCTTGAATTCAATCCTCGTAACTATGTCACATATTTTTTCTCTCTCAGAAATATGGAAAATAGGTTTATACATATATGTCTATTTTCTTGAATTCAATACTCGTAAATATGTCAAGTAAAGCCAAAACATGATTTTTTTTTTATTTAATTATGAAATCAAGTAATTGACCGTATACATAACAAATATATTAAAAATACTACATACCATTAATAAAATTCATAAGTTAACATAAATGTACATATTCCTGTTGTGCAGACTTACTTAGTGTAGTAAAACTCTAAGGCAAGGTCATTCCAGTGTTTGTCATCAGGGGGGACAACTGACTTAATGGCGCAGGGAGCGAAGCCACTCCAGGAGTCACAGGAGTATACCACGCCATACTGACCTCGCCCAATCTCACGACTCATCTGTGGGGTACCTGTTATACCAAAAACACTTATGGACTTAAATTAAGTCATCCTGATAGAAAAGTTGAGGTGGAGAATAAATGTCTTCATTGAAATTCTAATCAATGTGGGAAAGAATATGGACAGATCTTAGTTAGCATATTCAAGGAAATAACCAGCCTGCCATATCCCACAGCATGATGATATAGGGCGACTAATGTGGGAACCCTGCAGAACTGGAGGTTTAGTCTGTGTCTATTGCTTAGGGGACATTAAAGACCATAATTGATCTTCTGTTCAAGTTATAAAAGTTGGGATCTTTAATTTTGTTCCTTTTCTCCAAAGTTTTACCTGTGTTTCTCATTACATTACGTGGTATAGCTATAGTTGCCATATAATATATGTTATAGAGAAAGAAACCCTGATGACAATTACCATGGAGAATGACATCCTTGAGCGAGGTGCTCTCCAGTGCAACCTTGGCAACACGAGGGGCATGAACCTTTCGCAGTTTCAGCCTCTCATCCTCAATCTTGTCTAACCTTCCTGAGTGTTTCTGCTCCAACTGCCGAAGTGCAATCGCAAAGGCATCGTGGGATTTGTTTAGCCTCTCTTTGATCTGTGATGAAATGCTTTTAGCTAATCTAAAATATAGAAAATCATGTATTTTATCAATCCTGTAATCTTTCAACTTTGCAAAAACAATGACAAAAATTACCGTCAAACTTATATGAAGAGATCAAACTTTGGAAGACGAGAAAGAAGTTTCTTGATGCAGATTGTCTCCTAGAAAGGTCTAACTAAAAATAAATCACTTCCATTGGGAATACTAAAATCGCCCTCTATATGGAGGTGGTTGCGGAACTGGTGTTTTGACTGTATTTTACCAGAGATGGTGTCAAAGCGGCCAAATGCTCGCCTGTTTAAAATTTTATTGTATTTAAAAATTTGTTTGTAAAAAGTAAAGTTCAAAACAGGTCAAAAGTGTAAACAATTTGATTTTTTTTTTAATTTTAAGCTTCTCTTTATCAATATTTTACTCCACATGAACCTCTATGCAAAATATCAGCATCCAAGTACACATATTTAATGATTGACAAGTGTCTAAATAACTTGCACTTAAAACTTTAACAATGATGTGCTTCAAAAAAGTGAAGTACAAGACAGGTGGAAGATTTCAACAATTTGAAATTATGTTTTAATTTTCACTTCACCACATCAATAGCATACTCCACAGGACCCTCCATGCCAAATATCAGCATCCTATTACACACATTTAATGAATGACAAGCTTCTCAATAACTTGCAGGTAAAACTTTTAACGTTTTCACGCCGACGCTCACGCCGGGGGTTTCGCTATAGCTCCCTCTTCTTGGAACAGGCGAGCTAAAAAATGGCTGATTTGTTGCTTTTAATGCCAAACATGATGCAAGATGAAATAACTAATTGATGTAAAAATTTATGAAAAAAGACAATTTGAAGATTATTAATGGGATATATTACAATGATACCTTGCTTCACTGAGGTTGGCTAGAATGTCTGCAGCAGCTTTCTTCTTCCACTCCTCGTCTATTCGGGGTGGTGTACTCCATGGCATGGCCTTTACCAACTGTCAGGGGAGATAACTCACAATCAACAGTTATAGATAATACTAATAATAATAATTACAGATTCTTATATATGTCTCAAAGCGGTTCACAAATTATTATCCGTGGTTATAGGGCCTTTGCATCCAGCCAAAATTTTTCTCAACTCCCATGGGAGCAAGCATTCAGCCAGTGCTGCCATGTCGGCACTCACAGCTAGCATTCAACAATTTTAGCACTGCCCAACCACATGATCATTTACAGTTGAATAGATTGGAACAAGCAGAGTAAAGTATCTTGCTCAAAGATACAACACAGTGCTGTGCTGTGACTTGAACCCGCAAACCCTTCGGCCACAAGCCCCGCGTCCTACCACTAGGCTACAGTGCCTAAATACTTTTGATAGTGGCCAAATTTCACAATGATTATATTTCTGCTCCATCCCTTACCTAAAATCTGATTATGAACTCCTGTGAACTATTTTGCCAATGTGAAAACCATCCTGAATTCATATCACGCTGTGCAGCATGAATTAAGAACATAGAAAATGTCATCAGGATGCATCACAGTCAGAGACTGACCCAGCAAAATCAACATCACTGTGTAATACTCCTGTGTGACACAGTCATACCAACCTGTTGTAGGCCATGTATAACACCCATATGATATAGATCTCAAGTGTTGTATTAAATCAATCACTTGAAAATTGTACCACACTCCAGTATGACTGTACAGTACCTGTTTCATGTGCTCCAGTATGACTGTACAGTACCTGTTTCATGCGCTCCAGTATGACTGTACAGTACCTGTTTCATGTGCTCCAGTATGACTGTACAGTACCTGTTTCATGTGCTCTAGTATGACTGTACAGTACCTGTTTCATGTGCTCCAGTATGACTGTACATGTATACAGTACCTGTTTCATGCTCTCCAGTATGACTGTACAGTACCTGTTTCATGTGCTCCAGTATGACTGTACAGTACCTGTTTCATGCGCTCCAGTATGACTGTACAGTACCTGTTTCATGTGCTCCAGTATGACTGTACAGTACCTGTTTCATGTGCTCATGTATGACTGTATATACAGTACCTGTTTCATGTGCTCCAGTATGACGGTATATACAGTACCTGTTTCATATGCTCCAGTATGACTGTAATTGTGTACAGGACCTGTTTCATGTGCACCAGTATGACTGTACAGTACCTGTTTCATGTGCTCCAGTATGACTGTATATACAGTATCTGTTTCATGTGCTCCAGTATGACTGTAATTGTATACAGGACCTGTTTCATGTGCACCAGTATGACTGTACAGTACCTGTTTCATGTGCTCCAGTATGACTGTACACTACCTGTTTCATGTGCTCTAGTTTGACTGTACAGTACCTGTTTCATGGGCTCTAGTATGACTGTACAGTACCTGTTTCATGCTTTCCAGTATGACTGTACAGTACCTGTTTCATGCTCTCCAGTATGACTGTACAGTACCTGTTTCATGTGCTACAATATGACTGTACAGTACCTGTTTCATATGCTCCAGTATGACTGTACAGTACCTGTTTCATGTGCTCAAGTATGACTGTACAGTACCTGTTTCAAGGGCTCTAGTATGACTGTACAGTACCTGTTTCATGGGCTCTAGTATGACTGTACAGTACCTGTTTCATGCTCTCCAGTATGACTGTACAGTACCTGTTTCATGCGCTCCAGTATGACTGTACAGTACCTGTTTCATGCGCTCCAGTATGTTTCTGATGAATGAAGAGCTGGACTGGAGGCTGATCTCTACCTGGTAGGCTGCATTCAGGATCTGAAACAAATCAGCAGGTACGTGGGTGAGTAAAAGTTGTCTTAACTGACATCAAGAAGAACTGAACTGGTGAAGAAAGCATGTCAGTAATATCAGGAATGAAGACAGGAAAAAAGACTTTTGCAAACAACACGTGCATCTAACTAATTTACCATTGATGTGGACCGGGATGGAGAAGAAAATCGAAGAAATAACTGAAAAGCTATCATTAGTGCATTCAGCTGTTGAGGACATTTATGAAATTTTGATGACATTACGACAATCTCCAAATGAATCCGTCAACAAGGAGAAATATTGTCAGATTTCAACACAAAATGTGTTTCATGAAGATGNCCTGTTTCATGCGCTCCAGTATGTTTCTGATGAATGAAGAGCTGGACTGGAGGCTGATCTCTACCTGGTAGGCTGCATTCAGGATCTGGAACAAAACAGCAGGGGGTCAGTAAAACTTGTCTTTACTGACATCAAGAAGAACTGAACTGGTGAAGAAAGCATGTCAGTAATATCAGGAATGAAGACAGGAAAAGACTTTTCAAACAACACGTTGGATGTTGATAGATGTCAGTAAAATCAGGTGTTAGTTAATTGTATATATATATATATATAAGTCAGGTGCATGTTAAATGAAATGTCGGTTAAGTCAGGTGTTGGTAAAATCAGTTGTAAGTAAAATCAGATGTTACTTAAGTCAGATGTCAGAACAAGAGATCCCAGAGGGATCTTGGTGCCCACCAATGTGGGTGAAGTCATGTATCCATAAAGCCAGGTGTGTGTAAAGTCATGTGTCCATAAAGCCAGGTGTCAATAAAGTCATGTGTCCATAAAGCCAGGTGTGGGTAAAGTCATGTGTCCATAAAGCCAGGTGTGGGTTAAGTCATGTGTCCATAAAGCTAGGTGTGGCGTAAAGTCATGTGTCCATACAGCCAGGTGTGGGTAAAGTTATGTGTCCATAAAGCCAGGTGCGGGTAAAGTCATGTGTCTATAAAGCCAGGTGCGGATAAAGTCATGTGTCTATAATGCCAGGTGTGGGTAAAGGCATGTGTCTATAAAGCCAGGGGCAGTTAAAGTCATGTGTCCAAACAGCCAGGTGTGGGCAAAGTTATGTGTCCATAAAGCCGGGTGTGGGTAAAGTTGTGTGTCCATAAAGCCAGCTGCGGGTAAAGTCATGTGTCCATAAAGCCAGGTGTCAGAAAACTCCTACCACAGGTATAAGGTTTCAGGACCCATGTCTTACACATCATAACTTAGTATATAAGTACTCCTACCTATATATCGAGCGTACAAATCTGTAAGTGGGCTTACCTGTTTGAGTGCCTCACTGGTGGACTTGCTATTTGCACTCTGGCCGTGATCTACATCAAATCTTTCTAGACTCTCCAAACACCGACTCAAAGTTCCTTAAAATAAAGATAAAATGTCATTTAGTTTAGTATAAATTGTCAAGAAACAACTATGAGTAAAACAACTATAAACAACATCTGTAATTATCCTGTAACGAACCCAAAGGGGCCAACACATATATTCTCTTACTCCAATTAAGTAGGAAGTAGGCATGTTACAAGACAATTGAATAACACTTATTGGAATTTTTACTGGAATACAATAGATAAGGGCGGGCTTATTATCAGGCATGGGCTTATTGCTGAATAAATATGGTACATGTTAACAGGATACAACTATAAAGGGTGTCAGTAGCAGAAACAGAATTCTGAATATGTATATAGCTCACCACTATTTTTTAAATTAATGAGGCTGTCATCCAGAAACAGGTACAGAAGAAGTTCATTTGTATTATACCTGGGTTTTAAAATTGCATATTTGATATCATGTCGAAACAGAAACAGATAAAAGTCAAGGTTTATTTATTCAGATAACAGGTAATGTGTTCCTGGGTTGTAAAATAACCGGCACATCTCAGCAAAAGTATATATATGAAATCATGTAGAACATAGAAATAGATAAAACCCAGGTGTACGAATTCAGATACCAGGTACTGTGTCCCGAGTCAACAATGATCTCTCACTGTGATCCATTACCTAAGTAAGGATTTATAAGTAAGATTGTTCCATGTGTTTCAACAATGTTTTACAATAATAAGTTCCATAACCAATGAAACCAATATATATTTAAAAAAAAAAAGTTTTTGTTTCAAAAAACCCATTGTAATATCACTTTTAATTTTAACAAGAGGCCCAATGGGCCTGCATCGCTCACCTGTTATTAATCTAACACTTGTAATCTTAAGATTTCATAAGAACATATTAAAAGATTTAAACATATGACGCCTCTGACCTTGATTGTCGAACAAGGACATTAGGTTGAAAGTGGATCAAGGTCATTCATTTGAACTAACATGGTAATCCTTCATCCCAGCATGCTACAGGCCCAATTTCAGTACCCTGGCCCTTTTGCTTATTGAAAAGAAGTCGCTTGAAGATTTTACGACATTTGACCCCTGTGACCTTGAAAGTTGGTCAAGGTCATTCAGTTGAACAAACTTGATAGTCCTTCATCCCAGCATGCTACAGGCCCAATATCAGTACCCTGGGCCTTTTGGTTATTGAGAAGAAGT